GGTGGCAGAAAGTGAAAACCAAAGTTGAAAGAAGCAAAGCGTTGAAACGATTTAGCCAGAACGCTAAGAAGGGGTCGTGAGGGCTTCGAGGCTGTGCTGGAGATGAGTCGGAGGGTGTTTGGGGGAGCAACGTGAATCTGAGGCAAGGAAGCAGACCCAATAACACCCGCTCCTCGTCCTTGAGCTTCTCCTTTGGCGACTTCTCGTGGCTCTTCGCCCTTCCGTTTCTCTTCCTCGAACTGCCGCTCTATGTTTTAAACCCTTACGCCTTACTTTTTTAGCGTTTATTTCCCCCGCGCCTCGTCCACTGTTTTGTTGTTTCAGACACGTGATTCCAAATCCGGAGCGATTGCATTTATGTATACACGACTTCTGCAGAAAAGCATGCTACCCACAACGAAGAGAAACTGACACTCTAATTCTTATACTTTCATCTCTATATTATTTCCTTGATTTGCTCTCACCTATTTTCGTGGTATGTTGGGAGGTAATAGGCTCAAAAAACGTGATTGATGATTTACATTAGCCCAAAAGAAAAGGAGGAGTTTATTTACTTTTATGGTGTACAGTTATTTTTGATTTTCCTTTTTTCCTTTTTCCATTTTTTGCCATCTTTCTCCTTTCTTGTATTCGAACAAGACTTCTGCCATTAGCATTATTTATTTCTTGTCTACACGCATGTATACATAGGCAGTTACACATACAATGTTGTTTTGTCGATGAACAATACTTCAAGAGATTTTGGCATTTTCGTCGGGGTTTAAAGCAAGCTGCTTGAAATCTTCTATGCCCCCACATGTGCTGCTAAAACTACCCATACTAGTACTGGAAAAAGTGTGGGGTGACAACGTTGTTCATCATTACTAACTACGCGAGAGCAACACAATATGTGTGGGATGGTTAATCTTCTCATTGTGTGATCGCTAGCTAACTACGTATATTATGTTGGCCGCTCAGCTGCGGCCGCTGTTGTGGCACCATATGGGGGAAACGTAGACTATTGTACGACCGGATTATGGTTGTTCCACTGTGCCAATCAGCAACACAGCTGCTGAATCAAAAATCATAGTATAATGATGGATGAGCTGTGGAATCACAGTAAATAAGTTATGAACAGAAAAAAATCATTATCATATTGTCATTGTTGCTGATTTTTATCTTTCTAACTACTAATTTAAAAGAACATTTTTTTCATTGATATCAATAATTTTTAATAATAACTCAATTTTTTATTGATTTTTCACATCATTTTCTATTTTTTTTTATCATTTTCTGTCATCTGCATGTTCTTGTCCTTGTCAACATCAGTTTTCTCAGAGAAAGAAGTAAAGTTAATATAATATTCAAATTAAAAGATTTTTGAACGTTCATAAATAATTTATTTATTTATTTATATCATCATTATCAATTTTTTATCTATAAATTTGAGAAGCATTTCATTGATTTTAATTTACAAATTTTTCATCACAAAAAACATTCAAATCAGAGCTGATCATTAAAATTTCAAAGAGAAGATAGAGAGAATTAGTAAAAGTAACAGCAATAATAACAGCAGCCCCGGTGGCCGAATGGGTAATGCGGCCACCCGGTAGCGCCTTGGCGTGGGGACCTAAGACGCGTGGGTTCGAAACCCACAAGGGGACAACATTACATCCGGAGCCAACTTCTCAGCTCGTAAAATAAAGGGATGTGAACTTGCCAGGTAGGTACTTTCGGGCGGACCTACTACCTGATTTAGCTTATTGTTTCTGGGCTGGAAACCTGTATCGCGAGTATCAAATCCTTGTCTTTCATTAATTTTCCTATGTTCCTGTCCACAGTCAGTGGGGTCCGCACAGTGGCCAAGCAGCTCAGCCAAGAGGCAAGGCGAAAGTGGTGGAGTGGAGCCTGTGGCAAGCTCTCTGACTGGTACCGGGGCTGGAGTTTCAGCAGGCCGACTGTGGAATACCAAGTGAAGGCCCCTCCGGAGCTCACCATGCCACGGCATGCCCTTCACCGCTGGCTCGCACTCCGCTCCTCTCATGGGGACTTCTCCTGGTACCACAGGCGTTTCCAGCATGCAGATGCGAGGCTCACCTGTGTCTGTGGACACAACAAGAGCCCAGAACATTTGGTGCTCTGTCGACACTCACAGAGGCACTTTCTTCACTGGCCCAAG